TTTTTTCGGCGAGATCAGCGCGGTTGTTGGGACGGAAACAACGGAAAGAGTGCTGCTACCTCATTTGATTGCACTTAGTCAGGATAGCGTGTGGGGTGTTCGCAAAGCATGCGCGGAATGTTTCACTGACGTATCTCGTGTTTGTACAATGCTGACCCGACGCCACTACTTGGCACCTGTGTTCCTGGTGCTGCTTAACGACAGTTCGAAATGGGTCTGTTTTTGCTTTTTGCGGTAACCGATTAATATGAATTGTGTTGTGTTCAATTCAGGTCAGAAGCTCAGCCTTCCAATCGCTTGGACCCTTCATTTCCACGTTTGCCGATTCTGAACGAACCGGACTGAAATGGACAGACGGTGACCTGCAGTATGACGAGTCGTGTGTCCAGACGTAACACTGAAATATTTTAACTATGAAATATTTTAAGTATAATTATGTAACTATTATGATAACATCAAATTCAAGTTTACGATTGCTGTATTTCGGTGGCCCAGGCGGCACGCTGTCAGTAGCGCGCAACAGCAAATGCAATGCGCTAATAAGCAAATGCAGTGTGCCTACTTTTTTCAATCTTTGAACTAGATGACTACGCATACAAATCTTTTTCCGTGTGGATTGATAGACACATTTAATGCATGCGCACAGTACAGATCAGTTTACTTTTTGCAGTTACGTTCAAAATTTAACGTTATGTGCTTGGAGCATACCTAAATCTAAAGTCGCACATAACGAGAAATTTTGAATATAATTCAGTTCGATTAACTGATCTGTACATATTTGTTAATTGTACTTTCGTGTGTTAGGATAGATTTGTATATGAAATATATATACATATTTCAGTGATTAAAATTTCATTCACCTGCGCACAGTTGCCGATGTGCGCTTTTCACACATAATATCACATGGTTCGTATGATTTACGCGATCTCCCATGCGGTTCTATCCTTTAGTTATCATATTCGAAATTAACTTCACCGTATTTAGCTTGCTCAGTTCGAGTACCTCATGTAGTATTCAAGTGCTTTTGAAGGCGAAATTTCACACGGAAAATTACGGCAGCTGTCGGATCAAGTCAGCCTTTCGCTACATTTAATCTTTAGCTAAATCCTGCTCGCAGCATTGCGAAAAACAGTTTCGTGTCATGTGATGTACAACACGTTTCTTGTATCGATTCGAGTGCATGGTGATGCGTTTTGCCGTTTGTCAAGAAGACTTTGCACATCAAATGAACGAAACAAGCGGTATTCAGATAACTTGTTGTGAGATAACAGGTAGTATGTGTATTGTATAGTATGTGTATCGTATAGTATGTATGTATTCGCTTTGTATAAGAACTTTCGCTAATCAGAGTGTCAACTGTAGTAACATTAGCTTTGTTCGAACTTACAGAACTTTTTCTATTTACAGACTTGTTTGTTTTCTTAAATGCGCAAAATCAGAGCCGTTTGTCGAAAGAATGATCTTGGGCTTAGTTACGCTACCAAATTATGGTTTCAAATTAATTACATAGCAGGGCGTATTCTTCCCTTGCTTTAGAATTTTGGACGCAATTACTCGTAGAATATACCTCTGTATGTTGACAGAAATTTCTTAGTAGTGGTTTAATTCTTTTATTTTGGTGGTATTATGTGTTATTTAGGTTGAAGTCAGAAGAACAGGAAAAGCCGATTGCATTGGAGCCGACGCGGGTGCAGCTTCCGGCTTCTTCTGATGACAGTCAGATGGATCTCGGCGACTTCATTGATTCCGGTGAAGGCGTTGAGGCGTTGAATTCGAACATTTTCCAGCTGGTACATCAGCGATTGTGTATGGCGAAGAGCGACCGCGAAGACGAATGCAACGTTACTAGCGACATCAAACTTGACAAGCTGACAACGGAGATGAAAGCACCCACGTCCGAAGGAGCAGACCTTACGTCGTTAGGCAGTCGCAGCTCAGTGTTTGTTTGCGGCCAGGAGTCATCGGAGAGGCACGATATGTCCAATGAGGTGAACTGTGATCGTTTGGCGCCGTTCGATGCGTTCAGTTTCTGGCAGCCACTGAAGCAGGAAGTCTCTGGGTTGGAATGCTTTGAAGAGACATCTTCAGATAAGAACGATTTTGCGATCATCTCTAAATATATGGAACATCTTAGCGTTTTTCGTCAGGCAGAGCAGCGTGGTTCCGAACGCGTGCACGACATCTGGTGGCAGACACATGCATCTGCTACCGAGTGTTCCCATCGATCAGAAGGTAGTTTTGGTTGAGTTCTTTTTCTAACTACCCGATGAAATATAAGCATTTTAAATTAAGGATGTGACTTATACGAGATGTCTACACAGGTTAAATGCTCATAAACATCAAAGTGTGTTCATGCGCAGTACGGTTTCAGATAGCCAATAACTGTTTGAAGACGAGATTTCGCGGCGCATTCACCAACTACTTGCTTAAGGGGCCCAGATAACATGGAACCGTGGCTTGTGTAGATGTTCCATGCAGCTTGGAGTAATAATGCTGTGCAATCCGTGTGTGCCGTAAAATCCGGTCTTGAATGAGTTACGCGTTATCTAACTTAAACTTTCGCCCTATGATCACACTGGTAGATGGAGAATTTAGCAAATCTACCACTCTAATATCCACCGCTCTTTACTGACACTTCTGTTTTGAATGTTATAGTACTCACGCTTGTTTCGTTTATTTATAAATAGCTAAAGTTCGTTACTCTGAGCATATCTTTTGAACAGTCGCAAAACGTTCCCTGTAGCTTGTCTATTTGTATTTTGTAGAAACTAGCGGTGAAAATGTCAGTCGCGGAAATTCAGCGGAAGGTGCTGATCCCAAGGCAGAGCAACAGGTTTCAACGCTTGAATGCTTTGTAACTCTATGGACTGTTGGTCGCGAAGTGTGCTTTTTAGGATATAATACCGCAGGCTTTGCTCGACTCGTTTCTCTCCATGGTCGAGCCAACCCACGTTCTCTCGGTCGAAGGCGATATTCTTCGGCACTGTGCGTTCAACATTCCAGCGGTAGCGTACACTGTTGGTCGCAAGTACTGGCCGATTTTGAAGCCGACATATCTTGAGTTGGCAAACGATATGCAGGTAAACAAATTTAGCTGCGTGTAAATAATTTCATCAGCCATAGGCATTGTGTTGTTCCTCTAAAAATTTATTGCCACCTCTAGTAAGCACTGAACTTTTAGAAAACCTGCGTATTTCACCTTTTTAATATACCCTCTTTCTTGTTTTAATTTATTTATGCTAGGAAATTATGCAGTCGTAGCTTTTAACTTCGTGTACATTTGTTATGAAATTGACCCTTGTTTTGACTCTAGTGGAAAGTCAGGCGAACATTGGCGTTTTCCATTCATAAATTGGCAGCCATATTGGGGCCTGAGATCACTGAGCAAGACCTGCTGCCCGTCTTTGTCGGTTTCCTTCGTGATCTGGATGAAGTTCGGATCGGCATTTTGCAGCATCTATATGACTTCATGAAAGTACGTGCCCTCGATAAGTGCATCCTCGTGGTTATGACATTGTTCTGCTTTAACTATCGTGTCGCTGTGCTTTAGCTGCTTAATAAAAATGCATGTCGGACACTGCTCGGCAATTTGGCCGATTTTTTGCAGAGTGACAACGTTCGCGATTGGCGTTTTAGACACCTGTTTGCTCAGTAAGTTCAGCCAGTCTTTCATTTAAGCCATTTTGTTCGTTGGATTCACCATTTTTCTTAGACAACTCATTCCTCTGTGCGTCCTCTACGATATTGAAGACGTCAACGAATACATCAGTCCAATCGCAATGACGCTTGCCATTGACCGCGTTGCTGAAGTTCGTCGCATTACTTTCAGACTCGTAACTATTCTACTTATTTTTCCGTCGTGTTTGTACTGCTCTACGATGGTTTGCAGGTGGGCATGATTTTCAAGTGCTTTTATAATGCCGAGAAACTGGCAGGCAAGTCGTTTCCAATAACCGATAATTTTTCGCTGGATATTGTGAAAAGTTTCGCCAAGTCACATCGATGGAGCCGCAGACAAACGTATGCTATTTATTTTTTACTTTTGTCTCAAGGTAAGAAAGCATTGGCTGCACAGTAGCCAGACTCAATGTCAGAATGTTTTAGACTGTTACTCAAATTTAGATTGTGCAGGTTGAGTAGGTTGGTTTGAAGATTGTAAGTTTTGATAATATTTGAAGATTATGAGTATTTTATTCTTGCGTTGGTGTTCATACTAAAAACTGAATGTGTATAAAAACGGTTTATTTATTCAAAGCGCAAGCAGTTGAGTTGGTCAATCGAGATTGAGGAGTAATGGCGATTTGGTTCGTCTCTCGCGAGCCTTCTTCTTTGTGATCGTGGTTGATTTCCGCAGTTGGTTTCGAAGCCCGCAGCTGTTGTGACAGTTGAAGCCAAAGTTCAGCTTCCATTTTGTTCATCTGTGTTCAATGCTTCCGTTTTCCTGCTATGTTTCGGTGCCCACATCAGAATACGGTGTTAGGGGTGGGTTATGCGCATTCGGTTTGTCGGTCAGAACCGGCGTTACTTTCTTATTCTGTACCCCTGCTTATGATGCCTGTCTCCGGAAGAACAGATAGGCTTTCATATGTTCTCTTGCTATTTGGCCATCGTTTTGCCTTTAATGCCTGCGATGTAGTATGTTATTTTGCATTTCGTACAATGTATCTGTGTCCTCTAAGTGTTCTGACCTGACCAGTGCAAGATACAGTAATATTTGGTTTTATTCAGAAAAATAAAACCCGATCTTATGTGTTTAATAGCATACTGCTAGTTTTTGATACCGTCGCTGAGATATATAATCCTTTTTATTTTTCGACACCGAATTAAAGCGGCGTAGGCACTATCTATTCCTTTGCTGCTAGTTGCCTAGGGGACCACTTAAGCAGGCTCTGTGGTATTGAGCACCTGTAGTGCATGGATGCAAAACCGCATCACTATTGATTTTATTCATTTCTTGATCATATTCGCCTACATCGCATATTTTTCTAACTCGGTCCTTGTTTCGACAGTATTTACTTTTAGTGCTTTTTTCCTAGATTATTCCAATGAAAAATGAATAGTTTTTCACAGTTCTATTTGTTCTTGAATGACGAACTTTGACTGTTACGTTGTTCTAGGACCCATTCGTTCGTTTTGAGCCCCTTCTGTATCATTTCTAACAGAGGTCGGTAACAGGACATTATGAATTGGTTCGGATTCATCGTTGATCGAGCTTTTTAACGGCAGTCATAATCTTAACCGAAAGCAGATAAAACCGTGCAATGACCATTCGTTTTTCGAGCGGCGTTACTATCTGAGGCTTTTCTTTTTATCTACTTATTTACAATCAGGGATTTGTTTACAGTAGCTGCAAAACATGGTGTTATAAGAATTTGAAAAGCTATTACTGCTCTTCTGTGGTTGTATTATTGACCGCTGTTCATGTGATTTCTGTTAACTTTACAATTTGTTTCTGATTTATTGCTTGTGTTGATTCCCTGTTGGCCGAAAATACGGCGAAACGTTAAATCACATTTTCGGCTAGCAAAATGTTTTCTTTAACGTGTCCATCCAGATACAAGTTTTGTTGTAGGTTTGTGTATATTTGTGACGAAGTGATGCAGCAAAAGTCACTCGCAGCTGAAAAGTTCAAGGGTGCTCTGTTTCCCGCCCTGTTGGAGCTGAAAGCGGACCGAATTCCAAATATCAGAATCGCTGCAGCGAAAGTTCTGAGGACGAATACCGATTACTTCTTGCACAGCACGATGAGCGCCGACTTTGACGCAGCGATGAAGGTCTTAGCTAATGACTGCGATCAGGACGTCAAGTCATGGGCAGCCGTTCATTCAGACGACTCATACAGAGGTGCCGAAGCTCTTTGACATTCCATGTTCGATATTACTCGTCATCAGATACATACCAATAGTCTTTGTTTCACGGCTTTAAGTGATACACTGTACTTACTGAAAAACTTTCCAAGAAAGTTTTCAAATGAAGTTGGTCCATTTTTGGCCCGACTCTAATATATGCTTCACTAGTTGCTCACTAGAACAACGGGATGAATATTGTTCATACAGAGCTGTGGTGAAGCACTGTTTTGTATTAGGCAAAGTTCGTGCTGTAAATGTCACACTGCTCACTGTTGCAACGCAACTGAATTCAGTGCTTCTTGTCATCCTGTGTTGCACTAAATAAATCTTGACATCGGTTGTCGTGAACAAACATGCATATCAGCAACGACGCGATTATACTGGAGACACTGTTTTCGTGCGAATTATTTGTAATTCGTAATGCACGATGACCAGTCTGATATGAACGCCTGTTGTTATCGTGTAGTTTAAAATTATATGTAAATTTATCCACTTCGGTGTTTCCGACAGGAAGCAGCATGCATTCGACTTTCCAAACGATTAAAATATAGAAATGATGTAGGGCATTTATAAAGCAGACTTAATGCTCGGGAATTTGCGAATAAAATTTTCAGCTTAACTTAGTATATTTTATGCCTATCAAAAGCGCTGTTATTCGATTTCTGACTGGCATGTTTATTTTCCTGATGGCGTCTAATATCGTTGACATGCGCGGGCAAATAAATTCAATGCTTTGAGCAGTGCAGCCGTATTCTCTCCGCATCGTAATTCCTCAGAGGAGCAGGCAATCTTTCAAAAAAAGGCCGTTGGAAGGCGTGGAGGGGAACGGTAAAAATCGGTAAAAGTACAACAGCTTAAAGCATAAGACAGGCCTAGTGATCGCACAAACCGAGTCAACACTGAAAATCTCGTGATTATCACTGAAATTTTCCTGCATTTAACTTGGTACTATAATTTGTATAGTT